CGTGTCGGCGGAGCCCTGCGGCGCGGGGAGGCCCCGGCGGGAGTGCTGAGCGCGGGTGCGCGGGATCGGAGCCCGCCCTGCCCCGAGCGGGGCTTCACTAAGAGTCGCACTGCAGGATGGCCGGGCAGGAGGAGAGAGAGAAAGAAACGGTCTCAAGTTGCAGCAAGGGACGATTAGGTTAGACATCAGGAAGGATTTTCCCACCAGGAAGGCAGTAAAACACTGGAACAGGTTACCCGGAGAGGTGGTGGAAGCTCCATCCTTGGGGGCTTTTAAGACCCAACTAAACAAAGCTTTGGCTGGGATGGGGATGGTCCTGCTTTCAGCAGGGGGGTGAACTAGATGTGACCTACTGAGGGCCCTGCCAGCCCTGATGGTCTATGATCAGATGGATGGATGGATGGATGATAGATAGAATTGTTGCCACCACCTCCGTGTGACATCCTCAGAACCGACACAGGTTGAAGCCAGGCAGTTTTCCTGGAACGTATTGAAAATGTAGTGCTCTGCAAGATTTTTTTATCCCTAGAAATAGTTCAAAATTTGTAGCCCGTGTTCAGTTTGTACTATACACCACGTAAACATGAAACAGTTTGAGAGTCATATGCACATCTTTCATTGACTAATTCTTAATAAAACAAGTTTGCAATGTAAGGCAACCATGTATATATTGTGCTTTAAGGTAATAATACAAATACACTGCATATGTTCAGTGGTTTTGATGTTTAGTCTTAGTTTCCTTGGAAACAAACAAAAAAATAAAAACAAAAAAATTTGAGAAGCTACAATATTTTATGGGTATGAGTTTGACCAAGTCAGTACTTCAAGTTGTTTTTCAATTTCTGTTTCCCAACAAAAGAACATGACAATCAGTCTACTTAAATGGTTCATTTAATGACTGAAAAAGAAATGGAAAATACCATGATTTGTATTGGTTAGTTTGAGCTAGATTGTATTAGATAGAGGTTTTTAAGACCTGGCTAGACAAAGCCTTGGCTGGGATGATCTAGTTGGGGATGGCCTTGCTTTGAGCAGGGGGTTGGACTAGATGACCTCCTGAGGTCCCTCTCACCCCTAACTTTCTATGACTCTGTGCTATGCTACCAAAATCCCATTTAAAAATAAAAGTCCTCATGCTGCAAGTATTTATTTACTGAGGTAAATATATGTAAATAGAATCCTAGAAAAATGTACACATGAGAAAAATATAGCCTTCCTTCCCTAGGCTTCATTATGTGTTCTTGATGCGTCTGCAACTCCAGAACTCCCAAACAACATTAAACTCCATTAACATTTTCTACTCAAAACACTCACTGAAAGTGACTCAGTATATGAATCCCAGGACTTTCCTGAGCAAGTATCACAAAATCTGTGGGGTTAAGACTGAAATTGGCTCTTTGTATGTATCTTTGAGTGCTGAGTTTTCTGCAAACTGTGGAAAATTATCAGTTCACCTGTAAAGAGAATGACGTGCCTTCATATCTAATTCTTCCTGGACCATTTCAAGGAAACAAAAGTGAATGAGGGACTATTTTCTCTTTCGCTAGGTAGAAGTAATGTAAGAAGGAGAAGTGGAATTCAAAATTAGGATGTCATTCAGAAATTATATTCCTGGGAAGTTTTTATAAAATAGAATTATAATGCAATTTCAGAAGACTTTGTATATTGAAGTAAATGCATAAATATTTACCAACTTAAGAAAAATCACCAAAAACCATTCTTGCCCATCACATTTTCTGAACCATTACAACACTCCAACTTAAGAGAACAACCCATCAATTTAAGAGAACCGTATCAGTTTCACTGATATTATCTGATTTTATTATCTGAGCACATTTTGACCCTTAATCATTTTTTTTCTGGGGCATACTCCCCAGTGATATTATATACTGCATTCAATAACTCACATACACAGGGACAAATTATGAAGGCTTTTCAAAGAAAAAGCTACCAGCAGCCTTCTGTGTTGCCTGAGTAACTAGTCAAGACTCAAGTACATATGACTTCAGCTTATACAGTGTCTCTCTTAGGCTCAAAGAAAATTAAACATGGATAGTCACAAGACTAAAAAAGTAGGGTTAATACTTTAAAATTGTGACATTATGCCATGGTGATTCAAAACTGAAAAAAATGAATATTTGGTTAAAATCAACATTTCCTTGCAAAAAAAAAAAATCTGATGAGCCCTTATTTTATCAAGGAAACATTTCCTTGATATACAGGAACATTTCAACAGGTATAATGTTTATTATACATATATGTAAAAGGGACCAAATCTCTGGTTGAGGCTTTCATTTATTAAATACATTTAATTAATAAATACTAGCAATAGAGATGAAGGTCAAGACAGTGACATTTTGTTTCTTTTTTTCCTCCTTCACTCATTTAGTTTGAAGCATTCAAAACTAATGCACACTTTGCTTATAATTTTCTTCTAAAATAAATTCATGTTCTTTAAAAAAAAGTAAATATAAGTCTGATATCTCAAATCAACTTGTCCTTTGTACCAGAGGGTTACCAAAGATACCAAGCTACCATGCCTGGCTTCTAGGTTTCTTTTGTTCTGCAGCCCCCACTGCAGGAGGCTTGCTTGGCAGGGGTGAAGATGAATGGTAGGCAGAAGCAGTAGCTGAAGCAGGATGCTAGCTGCAGCAATTTAGTGCAGCCCCAAGCACTGCTAACATGCATCCAGACAATCAAGGAGGCATAGTCAGCTAGTCACCGCTCCCACTCCAATCTGCCTGGCAGAGGTTGGATCTAGTATTCAGATCTGGCCCAGTATTTATAACCATGACTCTGTAGTATTTTCCAAAACTCCATTACTAGAGTTTTGTCACAGATTATAACCATAATAATAATAATCACAATCCTGAATTTAAAAAGTGTTGAAGATCAGTATAAGTTTTGCCTGAGTAAGGAATGAAAGTGTAGGTCTGATATATGTGTCCTGGTCCTACATCAAGGGTTATCCCATATTCTTTGTATTTAGTTATCTTTCCAGTACTACTTTCACCAGACATAGCCACAATCCTGTAAAACTGTACAGTGCAAAATTCCAGACTGAAAGCCCTATAGGTAAGGTAAAATTAGAGACACCTAGTTTAGATATAAACTTTCTGATTTCTATCCATGTCTTCATCCCTTTTATTTCATTCCTTTTATTCTTTATGGATTTACTGTTCCTAGGTTGGTTCCGAAAGCACGCAAAGTGTCATAGTAGTTAAAGAGAGAAGAAATAACTTCATGTGATGGGCTAGGATATAGCCCGGTAGCAAAGAAAATGAGGGGGCTACATAGTAATTATAAATAAAATACTATGCTATATACAATACACAATTAGAGCAGTATACATTTATTAAATTTTGTAGTAGGGTTGGAGTGTTGTTGTAACCTGGCTGACCCAGAAAAATGTGCAAGAAGCAAGGGTTTTTCTCCCAACGATACAATTGGTCTAATAAAATAGATCACAGAAAAACCCTTTGCCTCATACATTATTCAGACTAGCAGGTGCAACTACCTAGCTGCTTACTAAAATTCTGGTAAGAATGATCATATCTAAGTTTAAAATATAATTTTGCTATTTAAACTACAGTACTTTCCTGAAATGGACATTCTATTTAAAAGAAAGATTACCTTCTACTTGCTTTACAAGTTTTCATACACTGACTTATAAATGCAGAAAGCCATTTACAATAAAGAAGAAACTACGGTTGTGAAATCACAAAAAATTGGCAGGAATGACAAGGGAG